TCTCAACTCAGAGGTCACGGAGCCAATCATGATGTGGCATTTGACAGATCACGTTATTGTCGAGTAGTTAATAATAGTTTATACATCTCACTACTATAAATGGAATACATACCACCAGAACGAACTCAACTACAATGCATCAGTGTCATCATGGGTCCTCATTAGCTTGCACCCTGATGAGTCCAGTGGCGTGACTTGGCTGTTTCCATTTCTGTAAAATCCAATTRAAGAGTCATTATAACGACACCCAACTGATCACGTTTTGCATTATACTTGGATGAATATATCATTAAGCTCATCGTATTTTGCACGCCAAAGTCTTTAATAGAGTAATGTAAAAAAAACCCGTGGAATAAATATTGCACTAATACACCTTGACAGACTCCAACTGCTGCATCGTTTTCTTTTGTGTCTATTTTGTTTCACGGGTTAATTGACTTCAGTCTAGCTTTAAGTCAGCCATAGCTCTAATTTCAAAGTGTTTTTGCGGTGTGCAAAGTATAAAGGTACATTTAAGGTTCTCCTTGGCTTATGTCATGCAAACAGCACTACATTCCTAGGATAACTAGTGCCACCTTAAAAAAATCCGCAGATCCAGCCGCGATCGTAAAAAAATGAAGTCGTTAGCAACAAATCATTAAATTCCATACGTTCCACAATATTTAACCTTCAGCAGCAATGAACATGCAACCGAATTAAAATATTGATTTCTAGGGGGAAAATGATAAAAAGCCTCAATGCTTGCTATCAGAACTCTATTATCTAATATTACTCACACAATGCTATACCTTCTTAAAATATAATACAGATCAATAGTTTAGTACTATTTTTCTAGAATGTTCAGTAAAAACTAAGGAGAGGTTTCATGGTCAACATATAGTCTCCTATATATGGAGTTGTTCTACTATTTTTCATCGGAAGCTTTAGGATTATTAAGTCGGTAAAAKTTTATCAGCGAAGGTGCAGACATGTTGATTTTGAAAAATGACAAATATATTATTATTGCTGGGGGACATTGGCGATGGTTAATGATGCGAGTTAATCCATTGTAATTGGAAAAGTAAGGACGAAAGTGATTATGAGATGCATCGCCGACTGAATTCCGTAAAATTATCTTCACATAATATATCACGCAAACTCATGCAAACATGATTCCATCTGTTCTTTTCTAAACAGCTTATTTTTACAGTGCTTTTATAAATTCTGATTATAGAACGAGTGTCTTATCGGGAGATACAGATTCAAGATTTTTATTGCTTATGAAAACAATATACATTATGTATGATACAAAGCTTGCACTKTGCTGCWATTGTAAACGTTTTGATCCCACATAGAAATTAACGAATCGTCGCTGGAATAGTAGATGTCTGGAAAATAATCTAACGCAYCCAAAGCCTCGCAAATAGTGCGATAYGAAAACTGAGGTTCCTTATTTGACACTGTGGCCCAATGAATCACATTGGAATGAAATTTTACAGTGTTCTAGCAGTAAAGGGCTTTTTTTGACTAGCAGGTGRACATTGCGTAAGGKAGTGCCTTAAAATCCTACTGAATGAGTGTTTTCGAGCTCGTATTTCCTAAACGACATCAAAAATTAGCAAAGTAAAATATATATAATATTACTTTCTATTTCTTTCTGTCTTTCTTTTTTTCTTTTTCTTTTGGATGTTAATATAGCGTTGAATCGAACACTTACTCTTTCTAAACTACAAGTATCTCATCAAAAACAATATCCAGGAATATCTATAAATATTCTTTCTGTTAGCATACTATTATTAATTGCATGTGTTGTGAAAGCAATATATATCTTGCTTATTCTAAGAGACATTTGGTAACAAAARCCTGCCGATATCATTGGATTTGATCAATTAAAGCCCCAAGTGGTCTCGCCAACTTTTCGGGACGTGCACTTTTGACTTTTCATGAGACATTGACAGCTTCCTTAACTGTTGAATAATATAGTTTAATAAGGTTTTTGTTTCCGGCTCGTTTATAAAGAGGCGCAGGGGTGGACCAAGGGGAGGGGTTTATTTTCCAATTAAAAACTCCCTCTTTGAAAATAATGGATCCGCCCCTGAGGCAGAACACAGGGGACATAAAGGCACATTTAATCCTGCCATTACTATAGAAATTGTTTCAAGTTATAAGCGATTGGGCCGCTGTTCATATTTTTTTCAACATTTCAACCTGAAAGCGTTTTCAGCTGAGAATTGAGAGACAAGTCGTCGCCGACTCATAATAGAACGTTGCGTTGCAAAAAATTGGTTTCATCGTCTTTCTGAATTATGCAGGTCATATAAACATATATTTTTATATGTCTAATTATAAGCAGAACTTTCCCCCTTGAGACMGACCTTTTTAAATTGCTTTCCATCGAAGGTCTTGCTGTGCGAAGCTGGAATATTCACTTTTTTAAAAACAATCAAAAYCYYTTAACGGCGACTATAACGACCAACAATGCATTTCGGTATTGTAGTACTCTATTCACAGCGGCATTTGGTCCTCMACGTTTTTTCAAATAGCTGTATGTGCTGAATTAAGGCTATCTACARTCGGTAGGATCTAAGACTAATCCTTGTAATCCAGCTTAACATGTCTGACATTGAATTAAAATTATCGTGTCTACATCGCCATAATGATTATTTACGGAAGGTTGAGTTAGAAAACTATTTAAAACACCGAAGAAATGCCTTATTTGGCCAAACAAAAAWWWTWWTTTYMWTTTTKG